CCCCAAGGCCCCTTGGACATCCTGGGACCCCTTGGAGTGTCCCCAGACCCCTCAGTGTCCCTGGGACCCCTTGGGTGTCCCCAAGACCCCCCTCAGGTGTCCCCCAGACCCCTCAGGTGTCCCTGGGAGCTCCTGGGGTGTCCCTGGGACCCCCTCAGGTGTCCCTGGGACCCCCCTCAGGTGTCCCCAGGACCCCTCAGGTGTCCTCCAAGACCCCATTGGGTGTCCCCAGACCCCTCAGGTGTCCCCCAAGACCCCTCAGGTGTCCCCAGGACCCCCCTTGGGTGTCCCCAAGACCCCTCAGACATCCCTGGGACCCCTTGGGTGTCCCCAAACCCCCCTTGGGTGTCCCTGGGAGCTCCTGAGGTGTCCCTGGGACCCCCTTGGCTACTCCTGTGTCCCCCCCCCGATGTCCCCAAGACCCCTCAGGTGTCCCCCAGACCCCTTGGGTGTCCCCCAGGACCCCTCAGGTGTCCCCAAGACCCCTCAGAGAATCCCTGGGAGCTCCTGGGGTGTCCCCCAGGACCCCTCAGGTGTCCCCAAGACCCCTCAGACATCCCTGGGACCCCCTTGGCCACTCCTGTGTCCCCCCCCCGATGTCCCCAGGACCCCTCAGGTGTCCCCCAGACCCCTCAGACATCCCTGGGACCCCCTTAGGTGTCCCTGGGACCCCCTTGGGTGCCCCTGGGACCCCCTTGGGTGTCCCTGGGACCCCCTTGGCCACTCCTGTGTCCCCCCCCAGGAGGTTGACATCGGGCTGGCGGCCGACGTGGGGACCCTCCAGCGCCTCCCCAAAATCATCGGGAGCCAGAGGTGGGTGGGGGGGTCCCAGGAGGGTCCCAGGGGAGTGAGAGTGAGGGGACCCCTGTGACCCCCTTGGTGTCCCCCAGCCTGGTGAGCGAGCTGGCCCTCCACTGCCCATGGGATGTTGGCACCCGAGGCCCTGAGCTGCGGCCTTCGTCAGGTGGGGGAGGCCCCAAGGGTGGGGAGTGGGCTCTCAAATCTGGGGATTAGGGGTCTTAAAATTGGGGAGGGGGCCCAAAATTGAGGATTGGGGGTCTTAAGAGTTGGGAGGGCCCAAGATTGGGGATTAGGGGTCTTAAGAATGTCGGAGGGGCCCAAAATAGAGGATTGGGGGCTTGGTAAGAGTGAGGGTCCCCAAAATCAGGGATGGGGGAGGTCCTAAATAGGGGTGGGGGGTCCTAAAATCAGGGAGGGGGCCCCAAAATCGGGGATTGGGGGTCCCAGGGGTGGGTTTGGGGGGTCCCAGGGTGGGTTTGGGGTCCCTGGGTGGGGGTTTGGGGTCCCTGGAGTGGTTTGGGGGTCCCTGGGTGGGTTTGGGGGTCCTGGGTGGGTTCGGGGGTCCCTGGGTGGTTGGGGGTCCCAGGGTGAGTGTTGAGGTCCCTGGGTTGGTTTGGGGGTCCCAGGGTGGGTTTGGGGGTCCCTGGGTGGTTTGGGGTCCTGGGTTGGTTTGGGGTCCCTGGGGTCAGTTTGGGGGTCCCCGGAGTGGGTTTGGGGGTCCTAGGGTGGGTTTAGGGTCCTGGAGTGGTTTGGGGGTCCCCTGGGTGGGTTTGGGGTCCTTGGGGTCGGTTTGGGGTCCCAGGGGTGGGTTTGGGGGTCCCTGGATGGGGTTTGGGGTCCCTGGAGTTGGTTTGGGGGTCCCTGGGTGAGTTTGGGGGTCCCAGGGTGGGTTTGGGGTCCCTGGAGTGGTTTGGGGGTCCCTGGGTGCGGTTTGGGGTCCTTGGGGTCGGTTTGGGGGTCCCAGGGTGCGGTTTAGGGTCCCTGGGTGGGGTTTGGGGTCCCTGGGTTGGTTTGGGGGTCCCTGGGTGGGTTTGGGGGTCCCAGGGTGGGTTTGGGGTCCCTGGGTAGTTTGGGGGTCCTGGGAGGTTTGGGGTCCCTGGGGGGTATTTTGGGGTGCTGGGGTGTATTTTGGGGTGACCCTGTTGGCCCCCAGCCGAGTGCTGCCCGACAAGGCGGCAGCTGCTGGAGGTGGCCCTGGGGGTGGCGCTGCCAGGGTGGGTTTGGGGGTCCCTGGGGGGTTTTGGGGTGCTGGGGGTTATTTTGGGGTCCCTGGGTGGGGTTTTTTGGGGTCCCAGGGTGTAATTTGGGGTGACCCCGTGCCCCCCCAGCCGGGTGCTGCCCGACAAGGCCACACTGCTGGAGGTGGCCCTGGGGGTGGGCGCTGCCAGGGTGGGTTTGGGGGTCTCTGGGGTGTATTTTGGGATTCCTGTGGTGTATTTTTGGGGTGCTGGGGTGTATTTTGGGGTGACCCCGTGCCCCCCCAGCCGGGTGCTGCCCGACAAGGCGACGCTGCTGGAGGTGGCCCTGGGGGTGGGCACGGCCAGGGTGGGTTTGGGGTCCCTGGGGATGGGTTTGGGGGTCCCTGGGTGGGTTTTTTGGGGTGCTGGGGTGTATTTTGGGGTGTAATTTGAGTCACCCCGTGCCCCCCCAGCCGGGTGCTGCCCGACAAGGCGACGCTGCTGGAGGTGGCCCTGGGGGGTGGGTCACGGCCAGGTGGGCTTGGGGTCCCTGGGTGGGAGGCTTTGGGGTCCTGGGGTGGGTTTGGGGTCCCTGGGGGGGTTTTTGGGGTGCTGGGGTAGTATTTTGGGGGTCCCACTGAGTGTACCTCAGGGCCGAGTGCCTGCCCGACCAGCCGCCACGCTGCTGGAGGTGGCCCTGGGGGTGGGCACTGGCCAGGGTGGGTTCTGGGGGTCTCTGGGTGGGGTCTTTTGGGGTCCCAGGAGGTGTATTTTGGGGTGACCCCGTGCCCCCAGCCGGGTGCTGCCCGACAAGGCCGCACTGCTGGAGGTGGCCCTGGGGTGGGCACGGCCAGGGTGGGTTTGGGGTCCCTGGGTGGGTTTTTGGGGTGCTGGGTAGTTGGGGTCCTGGGGGAGTTTTGGGGTGCTAGGGGTGTATTTTGGGGTGACCCCGTGCCCCCAGCCGGAGTGCTGCCCGACAGGCCGCGCTGCTGGAGGTGGCCCTGGGGGTGGGCGCAGCCAGGGTGGGTTTGGGGTCCCTGTGGGGTTTGGGGTCCCTGGTGGTCCCTGGGGGTTTGGGGTGCTGGGGTGTATTTTTGGGGTGCTGGGGTGTATTTTGGGGTGTATTTTGGGTCACCCCGTGCCCCCAGCCGGGTGCTGCCCGACAAGGCGACGCTGCTGGAGGTGGCCCTGGGGTGGGCACAGCCAGGAGTGGGTTTGGGGTCCCTGGGTGGGTTTGGGGTCCCTGGGGGATTTTGGGGTGCTGGGGTGTATTTTAGGGTCCCTGGGTGGGTTTGGGGTCCTAGGGGGGTATTTGAGGTGCTGGGGTGTAATTTAGGGTGACCCCTGTGCCCCCAGCCGGGTGCTGCCCGACAAGGCGACGCTGCTGGAGGTGGCCCTGGGGGTGCGGCCAGGGTGGGTTTGGGGTCCCTGTGGGGGTTTGGGTCCTAGGGTGAGTTGGGGTCCATGGGGTATTTTGGGGTGTAATTTGGGGTGACCCTGTGCCCCCCAGCCGGGTGCTGCCCGACAAGGCGACGCTGCTGGAGGTGGCTCCTGGGGGTGGGCACGGCCAGGAGTGGGTTTGGGGTCCCTGGGTGGGGCTTTGGGGTCCTAGGGTGAGTTTGGGGTCCCTGGGGGTTTTTTGGGGTGCTAGTATTTGGGTGACCTCAGTGCCCCCCAGCCGGGTGCTGCCCGACAAGGCGACGCTGCTGGAGGTGGCCCTGGGTGGGCACGGCCAGGTGGGTTTGGGGTCCCTGGGTGGGTGTTTTGGGGTACTGGGGGGGTTTTTTGGGGTGCTGGGGTGTAATTTGGGGTGACCCCGTGCCCCCCCAGCCGGGTGCTGCCCGACAAGGCGACGCTGCTGGAGGTGGCCCTGGGGGTGGGCGCTGCCATCGCCGCCCGCAGCCCGGTGGCCGTGCAGGGCACCAAAATCAACCTCGTCTACTCGAGGGACCGACCCACCCATGAGGGGCTGCAGCACATGGTGGGTGCCTCAATCCTGGGATAGCCCCCAAAATCCTGGGATAGCCCTCCAAAATCCTGGGATAACCCTCCCAAAATCCTGGGATAACCCTCCCAAAATCCTGGGATAGCCCCCTAAAATCCTGGGATAGCCCTCCCAAAATCCTGGGATAACCCTCCAAAATCCTGGGATAGCCCTCCCAAAATCCTGGGATAGCCCCCTCAAAATCCTGGGATAACCCTCCCAAAATCCTGGGATAACCCTCCCAAAATCCTGGGATAACCCTCCCAATATCCTGAGATAGCCCTAAAATCCTGGGATACCCCTCCCAAAATCCTGCGCACCCCCGAGGGGCTGCAGCACATGGTGGGTGCCTGAATCCTGGGATAGCCCCCAAAATCCTGGGATAGCCCTCCCCAAAATCCTGGGATAGCCCTCGCAAAATCCTGGGATAGCTCCCCAAATCCTGGGACTACCTCCCAAAATCCTGGGATAGCCCTCCCAAAATCCTGGGATAGCCCTCGCAAAATCCTGGGACACCCCCCTGAATCCTGGGATACCCCCTCCCAAATCCTGGGATAACCCTCCCAAAATCCTGGGATAACCCCCCCAAAATCCTGGGATAGCCCTCCCAAAATCCTGGGATAGCCCCCAAATCTGGGACACCCCTAAAATCCTGGGATAACCTCCCCAAAATCCTGGGATAGCCCCAAAGGCCATGCCCTCTGTCCCCAGGGGTGTCCCCACACTGTCCCTGTCCCCAGGGTGTCCCTGTCCCCAGGGGTGTCCCAGTGTCCCTGTCCCTGTGTCCCTGTCCCCAGGGGTGTCCCTGTCCCAGGTGTCCCTGTCCCCAGGGGTGTCCCAGTGTCCCTGTCCCTGGTGTCCCTGTCCCCAGGGGTGTCCTGGTGTCCCTGTGTCCCTGTCCCCATGCCACGCTGTCCCTGTCCCCAGGCCACGTGGAACATGGCCATGCTGCAGACCGAGGACATCCTGTCCCCAGGGGTGTCCCACTGTCCCTGTCCCTGTGTCCCTGTCCCCTGGGGTGTCCTGTCCCAGTGTCCCTGTCCCCAGGCCATGCTGTCCCTGTGTCCCTGTCCCCAGGGGTGTCCCTGTCCCACTGTCCCTGTCCCCAGGGGTGTCCCTGTCCCCAGGGGTGTCCCAGTGTCCCTGTCCCTGTGTCCTGGTGTCCCTGTCCCCAGGGGTGTCACATCCCTGTCCCCAGGCCACGTGGAACATGGCCATGCTGCAGACCGAGGACATCCTGTCCCCAGGGGTGTCCCAGTGTCCCTGTCCCCAGGGGTGTCCCAGTGTCCCTGTCCCCAGGGGTGTCCCTGTCCCCAGGGATGTCCCACTGTCCCTGTCCCTGTGTCCTGGTGTCCCCAGGGGTGTCACAGTGTCCCTGTCCCCAGGCCACGTGGAACATGGCCATGCTGCAGACCGAGGACATCCTGTCCCCAGGGGTGTCCCTGTCCCCAGGGATGTCCCACTGTCCCTGTCCCTGTGTCCTGGTGTCCCCAGGGGTGTCACACTGTCCCTGTCCCCAGGCCACGTGGAACATGGCCATGCTGCAGACCGAGGACATCCTGTCCCCAGGGGTGTCCCACTGTCCCTGTCCCTGTGTCCTGGTGTCCCCAGGGGTGTCACAGTGTCCCTGTCCCCAGGCCACGTGGAACATGGCCATGCTGCAGACCGAGGACATCCTCAAGTCGGTGCAGGCGGCCCTGGAGAAAAAGGGACCCGAGGAGGTCCCGTTCGCCAAGCTCTGATGTCACCGCCTGTCCCCAACGTCCCCTGGGCCCTGCCTTAATGTCCCCAACCCTCCCTGGGCTCTGATGTCACCTGGGCCCTGCCTTAATGTCACCAACCCTTCCCTGGGCTCTGATGTCACCTGGGCCCTGCCTCAGTGTCCCCTCAGTGCCACCAACCCTTCCCAGGGCTCTGATGTCACCTGGGCCCTGCCTTAATGTCACCTGGGCCCTGCCTTAATGTCACCAACCCTTCCCTGGGCTCTGATGTCACCGCCTGTCCCCAACACCCCCTGGGCCCTGCCTTAGTGTCCCCTCAGTGCCACCAACCCTTCCCAGGGCTCTGATGTCACCTGGGCCCTGCCTCAGTGTCCCCTCAGTGTCCCCTTAATGTCACCAACCCTTCCCTGGGCTCTGATGTCACTGCCTGTCCCTAACACCCCCTGGGCCCTGCCTTAATGTCACCTGAGTGTCACCAACCCTTCCCAGGGCTCTGATGTCACCTGGCCCTGCCTCAGTGTCCCCTCAGTGCCCCCTCAGTGTCCCCTCAGTGCCACCAACCCTTCCCTGGGCTCTGATGTCACCTGGGCCCTGCCTCAGTGTCCCCTCAGTGCCACTTTAATGTCATCAACCCTTCCCAGGGCTCTGATGTCACCTGGGCCCTGCCTTAATGTCACCAACCCTTCCCAGGGCTCTGATGTCACCACCTGTCCCCAATGTCACCTGGGCCTTGCTTTAATGTCACCAACCCTTCCCCGGGCTCTGATGTCACCTGGGCCCTGCCTTAATGTCACCAACCCTTCCCTGGGCTCTGATGTCACTGCCTGTCCCCAATGTCACCTGGGCCCTGCTTTAATGTCACCTGAGTGTCCCCAACCCTTCCCTGGGCTCTGATGTCACCTGGGCCCTGCCTTAGTGTCACCAACCCTTCCCAGGGCTCTGATGTCACCACCTGTCCCCAACGTCCCCTGTGCCCTGCCTTAATGTCACCTGAGTGTCCCCAACCCTTCCCAGGGCTCTGATGTCACTGAAACTGTCCCCAATGTCCCCTGGGCCCTGCCTTAATGTCACCTGAGTGCCACCAACCCCCTTTTGATGTCCCCTCTGGTGTCCCCTCAGTGTCACCAACCCCCTTTCAGTGTCCCCCAGGCTCTGATGTCACCTGGGCCCTGCCTCAGTGTCCCCTCAGTGCCACCAACCCCCTTTCAGTGTCCCCCAGGCTCTGATGTCACCTCGGTGCCCCCGGGGGTCCCAACTGTCCCCTTTCTCCATCTCTGGGGTCCCCAATAAACCTGCTTTCGTTCCCAAGTCCCTGTACTGGTTTCACTGGTGTCTCTGTACTGGTTTCCCTGGTGTCTCTATACTGGTTTCACTGCTATCTCTATACTGGTTTCACTGGTGTCTCTATACTGGTCTCAGTGCTATATTTATACTGGTTTAACTGGTGTCTCTGTACTGGTTCCACTGGTGTCTCTGTACTGGTTCCACTGGTGTCTGTACTGGTTTCCCTGCTATCTCTATACTGGTTTCACTGGTGTCTCTGTACTGGTTTAACTGGTGTCTCTATACTGGTCTCAGTGCTATATTTATACTGGTTTCCCTGCTATCTCTGTACTGGTTTAACTGGTGTCTCTATACTGGTTTCCCTGCTATCTCTGTACTGGTTTCACTGGTGTCTCTATACTGGTCTCAGTGCTATATCTATACTGGTTTAACTGGTGTTTCTATACTGGTTTCCCTGCTATCTCTATACTGGTTTCCCTGCTATCTCTATACTGGTTTCCCTGCTATCTCTATACTGGTTTAACTGGTGTTTCTATACTGGTCTCAGTGCTATATTTATACTGGTTTAACTGGTGTTTCTATACTGGTTTCACTGCTATCTCTATACTGGTTTCCCTGCTATTTCTATATTGGTTTAACTGGTGTTTCTATACTGGTTTCCCTGCTATCTCTGTACTGGTTTAACTGGTGTCTCTATACTGGTTTCCCTGCTATCTCTATACTGGTTTAACTGGTGTTTCTATACTGGTTTCCCTGCTATCCCTATACTGGTTTATCTGGTGTCTCTATACTGGTCTCAATGCTATATTTATACTGGTTTAACTGGTGTTTCTATACTGGTTTAACTGGTGTTTCTATACTGGTTTCCCTGCTATCTCTATACTGGTTTAACTGGTGTCTCTATACTGGTTTCCCTGCTATATTTATACTGGTTTCCCTGCTATACTTATACTGGTTTCCCTGCTATCTCTGTACTGGTTTCCCTGCTATCTCTATACTGGTTTCGCTGGTGTCTCTATACTGGTTTCCCTGCTATCTCTATATTGGTTCCACTGGTCCCTCTGTACTGGTTTAACTGGTGTCTCTATACTGGTCTCAGTGCTATATTTATACTGGTTTAACTGGTGTCTCTATACTGGTTTAACTGGTAGACGTCTCTAT